GAAGGCAGGAAGGAAGGAAGGAAGGAAGGAAAGAAGGAAGGAAGGAAGGAAGGAAGGAAGGAAGGAGGGAGGGAAGGAAGGAAGGAAGGGAGGGAGGGAGGGAGGAAGGAAGGAGAAATGAAGGAAAGAAACAAGAAATGAAGGAAAAGAAGAAGAAAAGATAAAATATGCTTGAAATAATGCAGAGAGATGGTGTTTTGTGAATTTCTGGCTAGAATTGGAAATAAATATGTTTGGAAAGCATAATATCCATGCCCACTAAGATTAACTTATTCTTTCATTTTCTGACCTCTATTTTAAGACTGTAGCTCATAGAAAGTATGAGTGGCTATACTTAAATATGTCTTTATTGCAATATCGTTATGGAAAAAGAAAATGATTTGGAAATGGAGAGATGTCTACGATGCTTTCGTTGCAAAAAGCAATTCTGAGATTAAGGTCTGGTTTGAACCAATTTTCATAGACACGAACAGCATTGAATGCATATGGGTATGCATAAATGATAAGCTGCATGTTTATGAGAGTATGAAAACATATCACGTGTAGACAAATATGCATTTATGGACCTCTTGTGTATATTGTCTGATTTTAATGAAAAGAAATGACACTTGCAATTTAAACAACAGAAAAAAAAATTAAGTGGAGTGGGTGAGGTGATTTGGAAGCACGGTGCTCCCATCCTTTTTTGTGTGCGCTACTCTTACAGACAGTGCGGCGCCCCCAGTGTCGCGTCTAAGCAGAGAATTACAGTAACCCGGTTTTCAGTGATGAGTCAGAGTGCGTGGTGCTGAAGCTGCTGCCATTTCATCACCTTTGCGAGCACAGCATCCCTCCCTTACCGCTCCCAGCGCTTGGGCCTACCTTGCTTCCGGCTCCCAGGCCAGTGATGCACCGTCGGCCGAGCTAGATCAGGGCTAAGCCACGCTCTCCAAGGCCTTGGTGGGGCGCCCCCTCCCGCCGCCCCAGCCGTGGGCCAAGGAGATTTGCCTAGCTGCTGCCATGGAAGCCATCTGGCTGTACCAGTTCCGGCTCATTGTCATCGGGGATTCCACGGTGGGCAAGTCCTGCCTGATCCGCCGCTTCACGGAGGGCCGCTTTGCTCCGGTTTCAGACCCCACCGTGGGGGTAGATTTTTTCTCCCGCTTGGTGGAGATCGAGCCAGGAAAACGCATCAAGCTCCAGATCTGGGATACTGCGGGTCAAGAGAGGTTCAGGTGGGAGCGCAGCCTGGGCCCGACAGCAGCGGGAGGGTCTTCGGGGTGTGCACAGCCCCTGCAAATCCCTGGGGAGAGAGTACTGTCTGATTCCAATCGCCTTACGGGGGTGACCACCAAGGGTCTGGGCTTCTGCCCAAGCTCACGTTGAGTTTGGTGTAGGGGAAGAAGCGCCGTGGCGGGGAAGGCCATTAATTAACACACATTGCCTGCACTACACCTCCATCAACCTGACCCTTTAGGACTAATAAACAAACTAGAACTGATTGCCATTACAATTCATCAATCTCAGACCCTATGTTACATACTCTCCAAAAGGCTTCCAAGCTATCCCAACATAACTGGCAGCTAGAGATAGGAAAGTAGGTACGTAGGTAGGAAGGTAGGATATTGTCATTTTTGTATCTCTCTGTGTATGTATGCTAACATATGCCTTAACATAAAGGAGCTAGTCAGATAGTGAAGAAGAAATGCATTCCTTCTTGTAATCAGCAATCATGTGCTATGTACCAGACACTGAACTTGTTTCTGGATACAGTGAAGACATATACAAGAGAAAGCCTTGTAATCAAAGCAGGAGTCGGTCTCTTTTTGGAACTTCAATGCCAGTATAGTGTGTAGGGGTGGGAGAATATATACATAATTACACCAGAGTGTCTTGTTTGTATTTGTATGCCACTCCCTACTGTGACACTTGCCACATAATGCATAATCAATGTTTATTTTTCTCTGACAATCCTTTGCTTTTTCCTTTGTAGCATGTTTTACTTGGAATTATATGTATGAATATGGAGGATGGAGGATTAACTGGAAAAAGTGAGGCCCAAGCAAAGGGAGGAAATGTATCTATTTGGAGATAAGAAACAACAAGCCAGAAGGGAGACAGAACAGAGTGTACACAGAAAACTTTGCAGACAACAATCTGAACTAGAGTCAGATCAGCAAGAACCATATCAAAAGGACTCAGTGTCTCAAGTTTATAATTAATATGGTTATTTATTGGACACTAGTTGAGCACAGAAGATATTGTCTAGGTATTTGAAGAGGAGGAGGGAGAAGAGATAACAAACAAGTTTTCTATAGACAAAGTTTTGTCACTTAACTTTGTGCTGATGTCCACTATGTCCATTTCTGTTAAGTGAAGATAGATATCTATGTATGTTTGTTAGAATCTGTATGAATACCCTCTTCATATTCATTCATCATTATTTATTGGGAAATGTTGGGTTGTAAGAGTTATTTACAAATTAAGAATATTAACCCTATCACTAGGTTGGGTAATATATCCCTCCCAGCACTCAGTAGCCTGAGACAGGAAGGTCTTGAGATTGAGACCAACCTAGGCTACCTAGTGATACTCTGTCTCAAAAAACAAAACAAAAAAAAAAGGCAAAAGCAAAAATAGGATGTAAACCTTTTTCTGTCTGTATGTTCCAAGATATTTTCCCAGTTTAAAATGTATCTTTTCACTTTAAAATAGTTTTTTTTATTTAGGGAAGTTAATTTTTCATAGCTTTATTATTTTGCAAATATGTACTTTTATTTTTTAATTTTTAAAAAAATATTTATTTATGCCAGTACTAGGGACTTGAACTACAGCCTCTGTGCTGTGCCTTAGCTTTGTAATACAGATTTAATTTTCTGTATTCAGAAAGGGCTTTAACAAATACAAATCACCAATTAAATAATTTATCAGCATCCATAGCTTGCTTAACTGGTTTCTTAAGTCAGATTTTTAAAAAATTAGTTGGGTGAAGGGGCTAAAGCCTACAGTAATCCCAGCTACTTAAGAGGCAAAGGTAGAAAGGATCACGGTTTGAAGCCAGCCCAGACAAAAATTTGGTAAGAACTCATCACAACCAACCAGCTGGGCATGGTGTTTAATATCTGTCACCTCGGCTACATGGAAGAATTGAAGTTCAGGCTGGCCTAAACAAAACCTCAAGACCTTATTCAATAAATAACTAAAGCACAAAAGGTCAAATAGTGGTAAAGTACCTGCCTAGCAATGTGTGCTTCCTTGATCTTCAAACAGTACCACACACACACACAAAAAAGGATTTTTGGGGGGGGGTCTAGTCGTGGGGCTTGAACTCTGGGCCTGGGCGCTGTCCCTCAGCTCTTCAGCTCAAGGATAGAGCTCTACCACTTGAGCCACAGCGCCACTTC